TTAAGTAAACTTAATCCCTAAGTAAACACTAGGTGGCAACCTTAGGTGGATGGATAAACATTATCCTTTGAGTTTCTTTGCCACTAAGTTTACTTAACTACGAAGTATACTTAGCCACTAAGCAACGTCCAGCCCACTTGAGTCACCAAGCAAGCTGGTCGTGACAATGTGCTCTGTTTAGTCGTTCAACCTCACTTAAGTAGGTGCCCACCCTTTTGGCTATTTCCATATCAAGACAATGTTGCTTTCTGCTGTGCTGACTTTTAATTCTCTATTGGTGTAGTTGATTATCAAATTATTATACTACCATCAGGTATATGCATGTTTTAATTTCTTAATCATGCTGGAAAAAATTGAATAATGTTCCTGAACTAAGTGTACAACAAAGAGAACATGGATGATGGATTAATATGCTATATATAGGTGTTCAATTTCTTGCATATATATGATATGAATGGCCACTTTCATATTGACTTGAAATTGCGGATGATATATGCTTGGATCTACAACAGCACCAAACGATTGAAGATGAATGGCCATAAATTCAAACTTTGATTCTGTTACAAGCTGCAGCAATTTCACTTGTTTGTCTTCAGAGAAATTACTAGCTTTCCTTCAAAATTTTCTATCGACTCTGCTTCATAATTATCATTAATCTAACAATAATTAAACAGCAATCTGTCATGCTAATTACTATATTCTTATCAGTACATAAACTTTGAAGACGTGGAAGAGAGATTTTGAAGAGGAAATTGAAAACATAGAGACATGTCTTGACAAGCATACAAATTGTATACAATCCTCTCTTTCAGGGCCACATAATTGATCAGGGTTGTTGTCATTTCCCATAATTAATAAAACTTTCCTGCAACTTACACAACTCAAAGGCATATATATGTAAAACGCATGTTTTTAAGTTTATCAAATTAATGCATGGAACATGTAGAAATGATCTTCAAGTATATTTATAAGTACCTATTCTATTATTAATTTTTTATCAGAATAATTTTTTTCATTAATATTCTAATGACATGTATATATAGTGCAAACAAAATGGATATGTGCTACTATTAAAATATTTAACCCAGGGTGAAGATACTAAAATCCTCAATAGATTTTCATAAGATTTGAGTGGAGGAATTCAGTGTTTGGATGGTGAGAAAATGAGGGAAAGTGGAGGAAAATGGAGAAAACCCACTTGAGAGAAAAAAGTTTTATTAATGTTGGACTAGTTGTTCACAAATGACAGGCCAAAGTCCTCTTTTACATAATCATACACACCCCACTCCTTTTTGTAGGCATTCGGCATTCCTACCTTGAAGAGGAAATTACAGTTTTACCCATACTGCTCTTTGACTTCGGACCCTTTTTTTGTTAATTTCTTTCCCTTTACCAAGTTTTGGGCCTACACTCCTTTTATTTGAACCCATTTCTGACAAGTACAAATGAAAAACATAAGCCCAAATATAACCAAATTTGGTTCTCACAATAGGGTCATGGCTTGATAATGGTGACAGCTATCAGGACATTTGGAGCAATTTGTTGGTCCGAGTTATATTATAAAACAAATAACGTAAAGAAGGTAATAAGAAAAACACTTCTTTAGGTGTTTAATATGTTGTCTTATGTGATCTTAATGTCTAAATATAGAGTTGATACACTATATAAAAAACCACATCACTTAGAATAAAAATTTTGAGATTTTGCTTAAGAAATTTAGTAGAAGAATTAGATTATAGCTATAAATTCCCTTTGTTGGATTCACGTGGCTTATAAAAATAATGTTTTTTTTTTAATGGAGGGAGATCAATGTGAATTATCAATTGGACCTTAGTGGACCTAAACCCCAAGGGTTAATGCAGGTAACTCATAGAAATGTTAAAAAACGTAACGATGTTCTAGGTAGGCCGACTTGCAATATTACTCCTTGGGAACACTTGAATCCAAATAATAATTCCTCGATTTCAATGCTCTTTTAGATTTTTAATGATATTACTGTTTTAAAAAAATTAAAAGCAAAAATGGTATACATTATTAAATGAACTATTAGGAAGTGCATTATTTCTTCGTGTTCTTCCTCTTTGTTTAGACTTTTTATTTTATCTTTTAAAAGAAGTTAAAAGTAGAAATGATAAAAAAAATTATTTAATTTTGCCATATTATTATTACTTGAAGCATTAAACTTGTTATGCACTATAATTAGAGGTTAGTGCTTCAAAAAGCAAGTTGCTCAGTCTTAGTAATTAATGGGTCAGGCTATTGTAACACAATTTTTTGACTTAAAAGATTGAGGTTTCCATTATTAAATAGGAGTTTATGTTTGCCGACTACATAGTGAAAATAAAATATAATTTAGAACATCATAATTCACATTAATTAAGATTTAACATTTTTTTACCAAATTCCAAAAAACATTTCTAATAATTTATAGGTACATTTTATTATTAAAATGATTAAAAAGGGTACTATATTATTTTATCAAATAATAAATTATATTAACTCAGTTTTTTACTATAATATTATTAAAATATATTTCGATCATACTACAATATAATTTAATTTTAGAATTAAATAAACAGATATTTTATAGACAAATATTTTGTTAAAAATTTATATGAATAATTTTAAAATTCTTTATAAAAAATAAACTAATGAACAAATATAATGATGAAATTTTAAAATTAAACAGGGGTAATGGTAATATACATGGTCAAAATAGTTTATAAACAGGGTATTTATAAGCCAAAAAAAAAAAAAAAAGTAAGTTTCCCCTAACTTATCTTTTTGACTTATAAGCTCAATTTATAAGTCCAATAAAGTTATAAGCAAATAAATCAGTTTAATTTTAAAGCTTATAAGCTGATTTGATTAGCTTATAAGCTAAGATAAACACCCCCTAGGTCACTAAAGAGTAAAGTCATAACATTGAAGGCATATTTGACAATGAGAAATGCAACTTCGTTTTGAATCACATTATAATTTGATTAGGGCTGACGGTGGGCTGTGCTGGCCCATGGCATGACACGAAAAAAGCATTGCACGACACGAAAAAGGCACGACACGACACGAAAAAAAAGCACAACACGACATGGCACGAAAATATGCGGGCCATGCGGTGGGCCTTAAAAAAGGCACGTGGGCCGGCACGGCAAGGTACAACACGAAAAAAATAAAAAATTATAACAAGTAAAATTATAAGAATTTAGAAATTAATAAAAATGAAGATATATAATAATTCTTAATCCTAATTTCTAAGTTTGTATTTATAATCTGTAATCATAACTTATAAGTAATAAAAAAATGTTGAAATTTAATTCATATTTCAATGTCTCATTATTTTATTATATTTCATAATAATTATATATATTTTTAATTAATATAAATACAAAATGTCACTAGATATAACATATAAAATATTTTTATAATAATTATTAATAATAAATCAAAATTACCAAAATTTATAAATATTAAAATTAAATATTTTTATAAAGCACGTGAGCCGGCTTATGGCATGAGCCATGGCATGGCCCAAGGCACGACATGATATATAGTGGGCCATGCCGTGGACCTTCAAATTTGGTGGGCCAGGACGGCATGACAAGACATAAATTTTTGTGGGCCTTGGCATGGCATAGCCCACGGCATAATGGGTCTTGAATTTTTAGGCACAGCCACATGATACGGCACAGTCCACCGCCACCTCTACTGTAATACAAATCTGTCTTTAAAGGCCCAATATTGAAATTTATGTTGGTTTAATTAGTCTATTTGACAAATTGAAAGACTTGATATTCCTGCTAATTTATGGATCAAAATACAACTTTAAAAACTGAATTATGAATTTGAAAAAATGGAAATCACAATTCATATAACTATAAATTAACCTCTGTTTCCTAAATAAGAGAATTGTTTATGGTTTGTGAGACGACCAGAGTCAGCTTATATCAACTAAAAATATACTTAAAATTTGTGAAAAATTAGGATTAGAACATACTATAATAGATTACAGGATCATGTCCAATAAATGAATTTTGAGAAAATAAGCTCAAATAGACACCACTTGCAGTAATCAATTCAACATAGTTTTTCATTTTAGAAACATATTCATTGATACTGAGTGACTTTTTTTTTTTCTTTAGAAGACAGACTTTAACATATCCCTAAGATGCATAGTTCTAACCTTGGACTCTATAATAAAATGACGCTGAAGCGTATTCCATAAATCAAATTAGTTAAGCTTATCACTTTACTACATGACCAAACATAGATTCTGTTGATTAATTCTCTTAAACCTTCAACCTTCATGATCATTCTATTATTCTTTGTGGTGGAAAATGAAGATGACGATGTACATTTTACCCATCCTAACTATTGTGGAATAACATTCTCACCCTAAGTTTTGAAAAGTATCAATGTTCCACTTGATGTTGAAAGTCAAGCGCTAAAGTAAGGGAACCGGGTAGTTGAGCCATTACATTCTGCCTTGAAATCTTAAAATGAAAATCTGTCAGGATTTGGGAAAATGATCTGAAGCTTTCAACGTGGGCTTTTGTGATATGCACCAGCTGCTGCAGACAAGCAACAAAATGATATGCTGTTGAACCGTCTAAACCTTTTGATATTTCATCCATAAATAGGGCTTTTGTGGGACCAACAACCATCTCCCCTGCAAAATTTAATGAAAATTTGATCTTCTAAGGTTATCATCAAATGCATGTAAATCAGTTATCTCATAAACATTACTACGAAGTGATGACATGGAGCAGATGCATTGTACAAAATGCTAAAACTTTCAACCTACCTACAAAAAATTACCTATAGTCGGTCTCCTTTTTTCACCTCCAGAGATGCCTATTATCATCTCATCTCCCGCAAATTGTGTCAGCATAGACATAGAGTCCAAGGACCTGAGAAGCCACAAAGATAGTTAACATATAAACTTGAAGCAGATACTAATCAACCAAATAAAGTATGGTTATAGCTTCAATAAAGAGAAATACCTTTAGAACATGATCTGTTTGAAGGGTAGTTTTTTGTCCTTTGGCAGAAACTGCCTGTTAAAACAACCATTGTCATGAACATTTTATACTGTACCAACAGCAAATAGAACAAAACATGAGATTGAAACTAGACAAATACCTTCATGTAAGTATCAACATCTGGATCCGGAACAAATTGACACCAGCTTATAAGTACTGCTCAATTAAAGTAAAACCAATATGCACAGGGCAAATTGACACCAACTCATAAGTACTTCTCAATTAAGTAGCCCTGTGTTAAGAAAACTGCATTTGCTCAACTAAAGGCTGAGTTTAAACCTCATAAGGCAAACCAAAAGCAATATATCAAAATTTGAGCTTATAGTAAGCATATTAGTAAAGTTACAAACTTCCAACCCAAAATAATTTCAACATGAATACTTCAATTAGCTTATAAATACTTCAATTCAGTAGATTTTTTTCCAAGTAAATAGTGCATGTTTAACAGCGTGTTGAAATTAATTTCAGAAGATCACAGTAAAAAATTGAACTTTCAATAAGTATATTAAGTAAAGTTACAAACTTGCTTGCAACCCAGAACAATTATAACAAGAGAGTACTTCAATAAAGCAGATTCCTTCTAAGTGGACCGCATTCCTAAACTAATTTTGAGTTGAAACCTCATAAAACCACCATAAAAAACCGAACTTTCAACAAGCACACTAAGAAAGACTAAAACTTGGCAACAATTCAGATCATAAAATTCCAAAATGCGAAGAAATCAACATCTTTGGATATTGATATTTGGATATTGATACCTGTGTGTGTTCCTTGCTTCAAAATGTTACAGAAATCCAACAGAGGCAATTTATCGAACAGTTAGTACACAGAAGCTAACCAAGGATCCCAAGCTTGAAACAATTATGTTTTCAACCCAACATTACAAACAATTGACAATACAGAAGAAGAACAAGGAAGAAGTAAGTTTCACACAACCAAGTATACAAGTTTCACCCAATCTCAAGCAAATTTCAATCTTAATTTTGCCGATCGTCACGAACAAATTCAACTTGGCAATCTCATCTGTGAAATTAAAAAATCAAGAGATATCAGCGATCATAATTGTTGTTACATCTCCTGTTTCTATTTCTAAAAGTGTTACGACACGTGTGTTTCCAGCGTAATATAGAATCCATTACAACAAAAAAGATAATACAAATTGTTGAAAAATTATTCAATTTTTATCATTCTCAACATAAAATAGAGTTTATGTAACCAGTAACCATCCAATAATTTTCTTAAAATCTTTTTGTTGGTTATCAACTTATCAGTAGCTCTCTCCAGTCTCCACTTCCTGTTAGTTTAGACATTTCAAATATGGGCTTCTGTTTCTGAGTTTGGGTTTAAAGCATGAGTCGGCCCAACACTTCAGTGTGTTTCTCTTTCATTTAGACGGTTAATGTTTTTATTTAAAAAAAAAATAAAAAAATTATGAGTATGAAAGGTTAAGGATAAAATATTTACATATTTTAATTAATAAGAACTTTATATCGATTAAAAAGCATTAGCATCAGAAAAAGTTTGAAAGTCGATAATAATTTAATGAAATAAAATAAAAGTAAACTCACTTAGGCTTATAATAAAAGTTTAAAATTAATTGTTCATGGTTGAATGAGTGACGACAAAAGAGAAAAACCTAGGACCGTGTTTCTATGTCATGAAAACTGTGCAAATAGAGTATGATTTAGCTACTGCCACAAAATAAAGTTTACTGACATTTATTTATCATTTATTTGATATCGTAATTTAACGAAGTGTTATATCTATATAATTATAGATATATATCTATATATATATATATATTATAATAGAATATTATATATATGTGTGTGTGTGTGTGTGTGTGTGTGTGTGTGTGTGTGTAATACTTGAGGCTAAACTTGAAATCATAGTCATTGTTAAGGTTTAACACTTGAATCAGTTACTATAATCATGGTTATTAGTACCCTACGATGCACGATACATATTCTAAAATACGATTCGATATGAGTCGTCAATGATAAATATCAAAGAGTGTATCATAAACCTTTCGATACGTTGATATGTATCATACGATACGATAAGTATCAATTCGTATCTTTTAAAATATCGATACGACTTTATTAATTTGGGTTGAAGGCCCAAAAAAAATTTCGGGTTGGATCCAGGTCACCCAAGCCAGTTTACTAGAACCCTCCTAAATTTACCCATTTTGCATGAAGAAAGTGAAGAAGAAGATGTGTTGTCTATTTTGCATGATAGTAATAACATAAGTGAAGATATAATAGATATTGACATTGATCTTGAAAATGATATGAATAATTAAAAGGAAATGATATAGATTTTTAATTTTATGATTAATTTTTATTATGTAAAACCATAATTTAAAACCAATAATATCACAAAATTCATTAATTAATTTTTGGGATGATATTAATTTTTAGAAATTTTTATTATTTTATATTATTTTTTTGAAAAATGCAAATCATATGGTTTGATATGATGCACGATACATGATTCGAAAAATTAAGTTTTTGATATATGATACGATACACGATTTGACAACCATGGTTGTAATTGTGTTTCATGGTTGTTAAAATTAGTTAAAGTTAGCAGACGTGAAGTGTTTAGGCTTTAGTTACTAAGTTTCGTTAAATGTCCGTTAGTTTTTAATTACTCTGTTAAGTTAACGTTAGTAACGAACTCAGTTACTTCGACTTGGTTTGCATACCAACTGTTTGTATAAATAGCAACTACTATGAATGAGAAAACCACCAAAGCTTAGTTTCAAAAACATCCTGAAGTTGGGAAATTTCCGGCGTATCGACAGATTGTATTCTTCCGAAGCGTCTCAGCTGACTTCAGTCCTGGAATGAATTTTCAAAGAAAGAATTTTTATTGTGCTTGAGAAGTTCTCAAAAGCAGGAGGAACATTGAATCCAGAGGTAAATGATTGGAATAGTCGACCAAGACTACAACGGAATTACCATTAAGTCGAAATAGGAGATGCATAAATTTCAGGATCATGCACTAGAGTGATAAGGATTACCAAAACAAAAAATAGCTCTACAACATGAAGGAATCACTTTCCAAGTGGAACATTATTAACAACTATTTTAGAAGAATTAACACCAGGAGAAGCCCGCCAGAGATCAAAACGTTAGCATCTAAGAGGTTCCACATTCTCAAGGCTTATGTTTTACAAGGCCGTTATGATTCTTTCGACAAGCAAACTTATAACAACAAGGACGTTCTCTTGGATTACTTCCAACGAAAACCAAAACCTTCGCAGTCTATGAATACAAAATCCTAAAGAGATTGACAGAGAGCATTATATTGCGTATGGGTAATAAGAAAATATGCTCTGTTGAGTCCGAATTAGAGCTCGGAATTACCTAGGACTGAAATCGACCTTCCATTGAGGTAGCCAAAATATTCAAAACAAAATCTACCACCATCCTGCACACATCTAGATCAGCCTCAGAAAAAGAAAGAGATATTGTAGAAGAAACATATAAGTGGCGACCTAAGACTTCATTGAGTTGGACAAAATGAAAGTGAAAACTAAAAACCCAAGTCGCTTATTTCCTTGCATATGATCAATGGATTATTGGCTATGGTATTGGAAGATATTAAATTTACTCGAATAATTTAAGTAATACTTATAATTGATCAACATCGTATTACATAAAATTCAGTATTCCAATGATCAAACAACTTTATTAGTTTGTAAATGATAAAAGTAGAATCTATTGCAAAAACATCAAAAATTTATTTATTGAAAGAAATATGTAATAAACAAGTATTCTCCCTGTTTAATGCATATCTAAAATCAGAGGATGAACATCTAAAGTGACATGATTAGAAAACAATCCAGTACTCGAAGATGAACTAGTTGCATAGTGACTGATTATCTCACTATCAACAAAATCAATCTCTTCATATTTTTGTTGCTCAAGTAAAGCTCCATTCAGTGCTCTAATATTCCCAGCTAATTCAATTGCTACTTCTCTCATTGTTGGTCTCTTTTTTCCATTTAGATTCAAACATCTTTTGGTGAGATTAGCAACAGTCATAATCTCTTCTTTTTCACCCTCTTTCAAGACTCGAGCATCAAGGATATCAAATAGTCGATTCTCTTTCATTGCATGAAGAAAATATGAAGCTAAACTTCTATCTTCAACAAATTCAGTTGGAAGAATCGGCTTTTGTCCGGTTAAGAGTTCAGCAAGAACAACTCCAAAACTATAAACATCACTTTTGTCAGTAAATTGACTTGATTGAAAATACTCTGGATCTACCTATCCAAAGGTCCCATGTACTTGAGTGGTCAAATGAGTTTGGTCAATTGTAACAGTTCTGGAAGTCCCAAAGTCCGAAACTTTTGCTCGATATTTGTCATCCAAGAGTATGTTTGTTGACTTAATGTCTCGATGGTATATAGGTATGGAAGCAGCTGAATGCAAATATGATAGAGCATATGTAACATCTAAGGCAATGCGTAGGTGTAGCTCCCATGTGATTGGAAATTCCTCATTTTCGCCATGAATATAATGAAAGAGAGTTCCATTAGAAATGAATTCATACACCAAAATTGTAACTTCTCTCTCTAAGCAACATCCTAGTAATTGAACCACATTTCTATGATTAATTTGAGATATTATTACCACCTCATTAATGAATTTTTCAACTTGACTTTCATCCACTATCTTGGACTTTTTAATGGCTACAATTCTTCTGTCCGCTAACAGTCCCTTGTACACTGTACCTTGGCCTCCTTGACCTAGGATTTGATTTGCGTTGTAGTTGTCTGTGGCCTTTACTAATTCCTTTGAAGTAAACAATCTTGTTTTTTCAATGTTACCTTCCTTGGATGACAACTGCTGTTGTAGTAACAAACCACCATTTCTTTTAAAGAATTTTTGCTTCAACTTGATTGCTTTTCTTTTTTTTTGTGAATTTGTATGACCACCATATTCCCATGAGAAGTTAAAAAAACCGAATGCCAGCACAACTACCTGCAAATTACTCAAGGATAAGTATATAATTAACATTAAATTTTGATCCAATATGCACGGAACTAGCAGAAAAGACAGACAGAGTGTGCATATATGTGCATGTGTGTGTGTAAGTAACTAACAGTGGCGGATCCAGCCACTTTTTGGCCCACCCTCAATTTTTTTTTTTTAATATTAATATGTATAATTTATATATTTTGGCCCACCC